ATTGCTATGTTATAAATCAGCCTCTCGTTTCAATCCGCCCGATTGTAGGAAATTGGTTGACACAACAACGCGCGCGCAAATCGTCCTGATCGGACGTGTAAAGATTGCCTTGACAAACGTCGCTATTTCCACGATGAAAGTACATCGTTCCAGCTATTATTCTCGATATCGTCGCGGTTTAAAGAGTTCGAGGTTTACCATGTTTTGCGATATGGAACAAAAACCTGTCACAAATCCCTACGGTGAGAAGCTCGTGGCATACAGAGACCCGTCTCGTGCGTTTCGCGTCGTGCTTCGAAGAGATCGAGGGAGAAAAAAAAAATAACAAGTTAGACGAATGCAAAGTAGTAGGCAGACAGAAAGAGAGACAGAAACGAGAGTAGGAAACGGTAAAAGTAAACCGGCGTCAAAAAAAAAGGGAGAGAAAAGAAAAACACGAAGAAAGAGGAATCAAAGAAAATATGATCAGAATTTAAGTGGATAAGCACCCGGTTTTTACCGTACGCGTCGCGAGAAAAGCGATCGTCTCTAGGACGAGAGCCTAGCGGCACGATGAAAAATAGGTATATATATTTCCCTGGTGTCGCGACGAAGATTTTATCTTATATAAATATATATATATGTGTGTATATTTAGAAAAGAAACTGGATGAATCGTTGTCCAATCGTGGCCCAACTCACCCGATGCAGCCAGGGCTATAGCCGCCATGAGAGTCCAACGTCTCATGTTTGCGCGATAGAGGAATCGGAGCAGTTCGCTCCTTCCTCGATCACCACCACCTCCGCCACCACCGGCTTCTTCTCCGCCTCCTCCACCTCCTCACTATTCGGTTGTCCTCGCACGTGGCTGCGAACGCGTCGAACAGGAACGGTACCAGCTGGATCCCGTGTTGCGTAGGCACTGAGATTTATTTACGTTTACGCGAATGAAATTGCGACCGTGGAGGTCTTCAGTTTTCTCTCAGGGTCCGCCTGAACGTACGTGCCTCGAGCACGGCAATGGCATCGTTTTCGCTCTATCAGGGGCACGTGACAGCCTCCGTGCACCTGCGGCGTATCGCCGCGCGTACACCTTGCACGCACTAAGCTTCGCCTCGGTTGTGCCTTCGTGCGGCATCGTTGGGCATCGAGGACATCTCTTCTCCTCTCTTATCCACTCGTTGTACTCGTTCTCTCTTTTAGCTCGGCTCGATTTTCACACAACTCCTTTTTTTCCAACCCCCTTTTCCTCTTCCACCCAACCCTTCACGCCTTTACCCACCGATGAATATTCTCTCCCCCCCCGAATTCGAGAGAAGCAACAGACCGCACCAAGTCGCGGAGTCGCGATGGGTATACACGAGAAAACGAGTCGCACGGCTCACGGACGCGTCCGTCTGTCGGTGAGCCAGCTCATTCGACCGAGTTTCCCGATAACCGAGCTTTTCCGCGCCGCCGTCCGATCCCCGCCGATTCTCAGAGCGCGTCTGACTGTCAGCACCGTGACGCTGAAACCACGGTTAACATCCTTCTGTGATCCGCACGGGATCGATGATGGTTATCACGAACCAACGGATGTTGCCGACCGTTTCCCCCAAATGTCCTCGAGCGTCCCCGTATCTGTTGTCACAGGGTTGTCAGATGCGCTCTCGCCGGCGACCAACGCTGGACTGATTCTCATTTGGCTGCAGCGCCGCGCGGTATCGCCGCCTCGGCTCTCTTTGGCGCTAGCGCTCTGTGTGGCCTACCGCCACTGATGTCGTTCCTCTCGCTTCAACCGCGGCCGATCCTCTCACTCTTGTTTTCTCTCTCTATCCGGCCAACGCCACCTCTCTCTCTCCACCCTTTCCTTTTCCCTCTCGCCGTCGTTCTCGCTCACCCTCCCCCCTCTTCGAGCGGCCCACATCCGCGCATCGTGGGGTGGCATGGTATACCATGCGGTACAATCCCCTTCCGCCGTTCTCTCGTCGGGAGTTTCCCTCTTCGTCCCGCTGCTATAGTGCATGCCAACATCGCCGGAGAAGAGAGAATCGTTACTATGGCGAGATCAATATGATAGGACGGCGCATGCCTCGGTATCCTTATACTTGAACCCTTCGGTCTATCCGTCTCGCTCGCTCAGCCGCGTACCGCGAGCTACTCGTCCCGCTCTTTGCTCGTCTTTCTCCTTCTTCATCCTTCGCTCTCCCCTCCAATTGGCGCAGCTCTCGCACGCTCCATCATCCCCTCTCGCTTTGCAC